GATGACAACTAATATCTGCTAAATCATCGCATGAAATTATGCAAGACATGCACTTCAAAATACTGATTCTTCAAACTGTAGAAGTTTGTTGGAATTGAGTAAAATATAAAGCTACAAAGGCTTATAAATCAGGTGGTCAACAGGAAGAAAGTGACACGTTAAACACATTATAACTTCACTGATTCTGATACAGATATGTAACTTTGAAATCCCCTAAACTGAAAGGGAGAACACAAACATGTTAGAATGTGACGCAAAGATACAGATATGTAACTTTGAAATCCCCTAAACTGAAAGGGAGAACACAAACATGTTAGAATGTGACACCTTCGCGCACTTGGTCATCACATTGAGGATTGCGAATTTTAAAACGAAATCTCTGCATGTGAAAGTCAGACCTTGGAGCAGAAAAACATGCAGTTAAACCAAGAGGCTTGTACACAAAGTGACAAATAAATAAAGTTACTTCAGAATTTCACAGATATCAAACACATATCATATAAAACACAACAATAAACCAAACTCATAAAAGAGAAAGGGGCATGTGCTGCTCAAAGAATGAGCAAGTTGTAAAAAATAGAAGTAGCATCTCTGAGACACTAAAGAAAAAGAAAAATCAACCTAACACAGTTCCCCATTAAGAGCCCTGAACCAAATACCAACATCGTAATAAGAAAATTTCCCCATATTTTTAGACCCCATCCCTCTGTAGCATAGGCAAAAGAAAGGAAAAAAGTCTTGGTGAATAATCTCTCTCTATTTGTCCTTGTATATCCATCAACTAGGTAAAGATCAGGAAAATTTAATTTTAAAAAATTAAAAATTATGAAGTACTCTAATACACTTTTAAGGAAACTAGGTGCCATTCCGTTACAGGTTTCTAATGGAAATACCTTCTTAAGAAAAGGTTGTCAGAAGTAAAAAAGAAAGACATTTATACCTGAAGCTTCTGGAGTAGGTCGTTCAGTCTTTCATACTGTTTCTCAATTTGTTGAACCTAGCAAACAAAGAAAGTAGGGCAAGAAATGGCGGAAGTGAGAAACCTTCATGAGATCAACTTCAAAATGTGCAGGAAAGTAATTGAAGGAGAGGGAGATGAATAGGACAATCATGGTATTATTATTCCAATGCAAGAAAAGTAAAAAGATCATCCAAAAACCTTTTTAAAGAAATCATCAAGGCCTAGCTCCCCGGAATTCATTGGTATTTGTGTTCCCATTTCAACATCTCCATTTCTATTATTTTGATGCCTTGGGGCATCAAAATTATCATCATCCTACAAGAGAAATCAAGTTAATGTCAAATGAAAAATGATTTTTTTTTTGGCTTTTCAACAAGTGCACCAACATGCTTAAAGGCTTTTACCAACACCAATATACGTCAAAGAAATTAAAACCTGGTAACACTAAAGATAGCACTAAGAATATAGTAAACTCTTCGAGAAGTTGAGCAATACAGACATTGAATATCTTCTGAAATCATTAGTGAAGAAACAAAAGTACTCCCAGGATAATTATTTAAGTAGATAAATGTCAAGACAAAGGCCAATTGTACATACAAACTTTAGAAATTCTGCACAAGTTCCCTTTAACACTCTTTCATCTATTATGATGGAGATTGAGATGGTTACAGTGACATCATATTAGCATTTTTCTCTTTTTACATTAGCACAGGCGTTTGACTAAGCACCAATTGGTTAAAGACCACAATAGCAAGCTAAATATTGCTAAAAGGTGTAAAAACAGCTAATAGTGTGACAATTCTTGGGTAGAAATATGCCATGGAGAGGAGCCCACAGAGGATCAAGCAACTTTGCCTCCTAATATGTAAGCATACCAAGAAAATCTGTTAAAATATTTGCATGGAGAAAGTATGTACACTAAACAGGGAAACGATTGAGAGTAATGGTTCCTGAAGGAGAAGATCATGCTAAAGTTTGAGCCTTTTTCCCACTCCATAACAGGGACAACAACAACACTCAGACATCATCTTTGACAGTGAAGCCTAAAGAATCATTTCTCACCTTGTTGTATTGTTTCAAAATGGCATATAATAAATGAGCAATTTATATAAAGTTATTCTCTTTTTTATGAAAAAATTTATGTGGAATTTTTGCATACAAATCCTTATAAGCAATAGAAATTCCAGGAACTTAGTTTCCTTCACTTCCTCTTCCTCTTCCTCTTCCCCTTACAGCAGTAGTTTTAAAACCACCATTATTATAGTAGCAAGGGAAGGCCAAGAATGCAGTTTTTTTTAACATTTGTCATGATCCAAATGTCATTTTCTGCATTTCCTTTTCATTCCTAACTTATCCATCGTCTAGAAGGTGTCAAGAATACTCAATAATATACAATTATACACTGCAAAAACCTTCATTTTCTTAATCAAATGAAAAAGAAACATGGAAAATTGGGTAATGACATACAAATATTTGACCATCTGAGCTATGAAAGTAGTGAAACTAGGGAAAAACACAAAAAGGCTCAACAAGCTTTTGTATTTTTCCATTACTTTGTAATTATCAGCTGTCGTGCAATAAAAAATGTTTAATTGGGTACAACAATAAATAAAAGTTGGATCATTTGAGCTATGAAAGAAGGTATACAAGGGAAAATCCAGAAAAGGGTCAACAAGTTTAGTTCATTCCCCATTTCAGATGTCATACGAATTAAAAAAAAAATAAACTGGTTATAGTGGCCAATAAAATATGGCTCATTGAGCTATGGAAGTAGTGAAACATAGGAAAATCCAAAAGGAGTCAACAAGTTTGTTCTTTCCGATTTTGAGTACTCAGCTGGCATTCAGATCAGAAAAATGGAGAAGTGGACATCATGACAACTAAAGTTTGACCCTTTGAGCAATGAAAGCAGTGAAACATGGAAAAATTCAAAAGGGGTCAGCAAGTTTTACTATTATTATTTCCCATTTCTTTGTACTACACAGCTGCCATCCAGATTTTTAAATGATTAAGTGGCTATCCTAACAACTCAAGTTTGACCCTTTTAGCAGTGAAACATGAAAAAATCCAAAAGGGGTCAGCAAATTTTATCCTTTTTCCCATTCCTTTGTATTTCTCAGCTACCATCCAGATCAAAAGAAATGGTAACGCAGCCATCATGACAACTAAAAATCGACTCTTTAGGCAATGAAACATGGAAAAATCCTAAAGGGGTAGCAAGTGCTATTCTTTTTCCCATTTCTCTGTATTTCTCAGCTGCCATCCAGATCAAAAAAAAGGTAAAGCGGCCATCATGACAACTAAAAATTGACTCAATCAGTAAAACATGAAAAATCCAAAAGGGGTCAGCAAGATTATCCTTTTTCCCATTTCTTTGAATTTCTCAGCTGCCAGCCAGATCAAAAAAATGGTAAAGCAGCATCATGACAACTAAAAATTGAGTCTTTAACCAATAAAAGCACTAAAACATGGAAAAAATCCAAAAGGGGTCAGCAAGTTTTATCTCTTTTTCTCAATCCTTTGTATTTCTCAGCTACCAGCCAGATCAAATAATGGTAAACCAGCCTGACATGACAACTAAAAATTGAGTCTTTAAGCAATAAAAGCACTAAAACATGAAAAAATCCAAAAGGGGTCAGCAAATTTTGCTCCTCTTTCCCTATTTCTTTGTATTTTTCAGCTACCATACAGATCAAGAAAATGTAGATGCACAAAAAAAAAAAAAAAGGGAAACAAACTTACATTTAAAAGATCGTTCATTTTGGGAGAAGAATGAGAGATCTACTGAATTCTTGGCGCTCTCTCTCTCCCCTCCGTCGTTTTCTTTGTCTGTAAGTTTCTGCTTCGACCCCTTGAAGAATTTTTAGAGAGAGAAAGAGGGAGGCAGAGAAGAAGAGAGAGAAAGAGACACCAATATGAAAGAATGTTGCTTTGCTGTTGCAACAGCGTGTGTGTGTGAGAGAGACAATTCAGTGACACAGCGTGAAGGGAGGTTTCTCTTTTGCAAACTTTAATTCAAACCTTCTTTTAGGCTAGTATTTGGCCATATATTTCAAATATTTTTGGCAAGTTATTTTTGCGTGAGGATCTAGATGAATAAATTTTTACACTCGTAAGTTTTAAAAATTATTAAAAATATTTATAAATATATATTATTATTATAATAATAATATGTTTCTTAAAAAGTCACTATTCATATAAATTTCAAAAAAAAACTATATTGTTGATTTGTATACAAAAATTATTATTAATATTTGTAATTGAAAGTGACTTAACAATGAAAGAGGAGAGAAGTGAGCAAGGTTGAGAGAGGTGAGCGAGATCTAAGAGAGATAGAGAGATACAGTTGATTTGTATATTTTATCGATAATTATATTACGAATATAATTGATTTGTATATCTCATCGATAATTATATAATGAATACAACTGATTTGCATCAATGAATATAATTGTATCAAAAGTGTTATATTCCTCCATACACATCATTTATATCAAAGATATTAACTCTCTTGATTTCTTTATGTATTTTTCATTTTTTGATCTTCCTTAGAGAAAAAATTGACTTCGCTACTAAACTCGACTAATCCTGAATTAGCGTCACATAATTAATTCGAAGAGAACTCTTTCAATCAAGAAAAACTTTTCATACACAAAATTTAAAATTGAGACATCTGATTAACAAAGAAACATATATATCTATTGTTTATTGCATCACACCTTTTGATGATAATCAAACAGTATAACAATTGTTTCTTCTTCTTTTTTTCATCTGATTTTCAATATCAATATTAAAGCTCAATTAATCTAAATTTGCGCCGAATAAAACTCGGACATAACACTCCCTACCTAAAAAAGTTACTACTAAATTTCCATATCCAAGCTAAACCAACCCTATAGTCTATAGTTTATTTTCATTTATTGGTGAATCGCAATTTCCTCTATTCAAATCAACACACGATCACCACGTGTCATAAACAACATTGATGACACTTCTGGTAGCTTCTTCTTCTTCCTCTCTCTTTCTTACTTTGATTCCTTTAACCCAAAAAATACTCTCTTTTTTCCCAAATTTAAAGTTAAATTTTAAAAATCAATTGACATCTCATATCTACCGACACTTAAAAGTCTCTGTTCAATTTCTCCGTGTTGCGTTTAATACGTGGCATATAGATTAGATAGATCCTTTCTTTTTTTCTATAAATAGATTCTCAAAATTTTGGATCTGTTGTAATATCCAGAACATATCTATTTCTTCATTGTTCATATTGGGCACTGAGTTTCTTGGTGTTTGGTGAAAAGGGTAAGTTTTATTTTTTTATTATCTTAATTGGGTGTTGTTTATAGTGTAAAAGTTGGTTCTTTTTGCTGCGTTTATATCGTCTTTAATTGGGTTTATTGGAGTTTTCTTGCTGATTATTAAAAAGGGTGTGTTTTGTTCTTGATTATCTCAATTGGGTGTTGTTTATATTGTGTAAAAGTTGGTTCTTTTTGCTGCGCTTATATCATCTTTAATTGGGTTTATTGGAGTTTTTTTTTGCTGATTATTGAAAAGGGTGTGTTTTATTTTTTATTATCTCAATTGGGTGTTGTTTATATTGTGTAAAAGTTGGTTCTTTTTTATGCTATTATATCATTTTTTTTTATTGGGTCTTTTGTTGTTTAGTGAAAAGGGTAAATTTTTATTTTGATGATCTCAAATGGGTGTTGTTTATTTTGGGTAAAAGTTGATTCCTTTTGCTGAGATTGTATTATCTTTTATTGGGTTTCTTGTTTATTAATTTAATTTGTAATTGATAGTTTTGTTGTATTGAAGAATTTGAGATTGTTGTATGCAAATATATTTGGTGGGTGGGTGGGTGGTGGAGGGTCTTTATGGATCAATTTTGAGGATTCATTTTATAGCTTATGTGATGTTAATTTGGGGACTAGTCTCCTCTTCTCATATTCTCCTTATTTAGTATTCACTTAGTATCTTGTTCTTCTTTTTTACTACTACTACATGTTGCATTGTTTATCTTGTTGTTTTGTTGTCGTTATTTTCCTTTCAATCATGCTTTGATTACACTTCTTTTGGACCGAGGTCTATCGGAAACAATCTACCTACCCGCAAAGGTAGGGGTAAGCTCTGTGTACGTATATGTTGTTGTAGTTGATGTGATGCTAATTTGGGGTTAATAATCTTTACTAGGATCCATTCCCATTCCCCCTTGGAAATTACTAAATGAAATATGTATTGGATATATATTTTGTTATGTCAGTATCACTTTCCTTTTTCTATTGAAGAATTACCATTTTGATTGATTGTGATTGTCCAATAAGTTCACTCCCCTATTATCTTATTCTTCGATTGTATCATTACCAGTTATTTCATTTGTTTCAATTTTCTTATTATTTGTTGTGCTATTGTTCTCTTCTCCAGTTTTTGTTTTTCATCATGGCTTCTTCATTTCTGTATTCCCTTCTTCCCTTCTCTAACCTGCTTTGATATGCTTAATTTAAACTGGGTGGTCGATCCGAAACAACCTCTCTACCTGCATAAGGTAGGGGTAAGGTTTGCGTATAGACCACTCTCTCAAGACTCCACTTATGGGATTACACAGGATACGTTGTTATTATCATCCGGTAAGTTTCTGTATGCTCATGAAGAGCACATAAAAAAGGAAAAAGAAATTTGGAAACAAGAAAGCCTACTTCTTTTTCTCATTTCTGCCTTGTGATTAATTGGGATAGTTGTGGTTGTATTCTGTATTGCGTGGATTCATCATAATCGTGCTAGTTCTACACTGACTATCAACTTACCACAACCCTCTTCCTTTGACGGGCTTTGTACCGGTAAAATTAGCAAGCTCACATGTCGAATAATGGCAATCTATATTGTGTCTACCGTGTGTGTATTAACAGTATTAAAGTGGAATGAGGTTACTAAATAATCAGTGACATCTCTGAGTTATCTTCAATTGCCAAGACTGTAATCTATCTTAGAATCTTACAGTTGCTATTATGGCTTCTCTGCATCTGAATTTGACATTAGGGGGAAAATGTTATGTAGTGGTGGATCAAATCATAGTCTTTTTATATGTAAGGAAGTTCACTGATTATATCTAGTATGGTACTGAAAGAATGAAAATGTAGATAAACTACTGTTAGGTGCGGCATAGGGAGAACATGGAATACTCAAAATGAATTAGAAGCTGAAAGTCTAAAGTGGCACGGAACGGAATATACAAGTGCAGGAAAAGGATAAGAGGAAATGTTTCACTGAAGTAATATTTTTGGAGTCAGGTTTACAGTAAAAGAAGGGGTTTGTTTTCACCATCATGGTTCTTTTCTTTTATAAGTATGTGTTAGTTCCATCTAGTGGATCACTACTGCCTATTTACTGTATTTTCATTTCGTCGACTTACTTTCGATATTTGGCTTTGATCTAATATGATTTTACAGACTAGTAGTTCAGTTGCCTTCCCATGTGATTGTAACTCATAGGTAGTGTGTCACTACACAAAACTGTCATTGAACAGTGTGAACATCCTTGCGAGAGACGAGTTTATGTTTCATTAGGTTTAAACTGCATCTTGATTCTAGTTGGGGGAAAACCTGGCTTATGCAGTGAATCGAATCATAGTTTCTTTACAGCCTACAGGTAATGAAGTTCACTGATTATATCTTAGTATGATACGGGAAGAACGAAAAAGAAGAAAAACCACAGTATAAGTGGGGTTTATGGAGAAGAAAAGCTGAAGAATAGTTTGAAGCTGAAAGTATAAAGGGGCATGGGATATAGAAGTGCAGGAATAAGAATAGAGGATATGTTTCATCGAGATCTTTTTTCGAGTCAAGTTATGGATTCCTTATCCTCCACCATGGTTCTTTTCTTCTCTTGATGTGTGGAAGTTACCATATATGAATTTATTTGTCTATGTCACCCAACTTCCCCCGATACCTTATTCACTGCAGCCTGCGAAAACATTGTTTGTTCTTCATCATTTTGAGGAAAATCTTCTGTGCTGGCGATACTGTCTTTCTACCTAATGTTTTTATTATTAAACATGAAAATGATAGACTTACTGTTTTCTTAATTTTGCATCTCCTTCTCAGATATCTCGGAGAAATTGAAGGCACATTGACACGCGGACAATTTTGGATAGGAAGCGGAAACAACTGTTATTGCCGGGGAAGAAGAAGAAAAGATGGAAAAGGAAGAACAACATCTCAAAGTCGAGAAAGAGATAGAGAAGTCCGAAGATTTGAAGGAGAAAAAGAAAGACAAAAAGGATAAAGAAAAGAACAAGGAGAGTGAGGAGGAGTCGGAGGATGAAACAAAAAATGTAAAAGAGAAGAAAGACAAGAAGGAGAAAAAGGATAAAGAAAAGGAGAAGAGCAAGGAGGAGTCGGAGGAAGAAACCAAGGAAGAGAAGGATGATGAAGAAGGGGAGAAAAAGGATAAAGAGAAGAAACTTAAGAAGGTTAAGAAAGAAAAAAAGGAAAAAGTGAAGAGCGAGGAGGAGTCGAAGGGAGAAAAGGATGAAGAAAAAGTGGAGAAGAAACTCAAGATAGTTAAGATTGAGGAAAAGGAAAAAGAGAAGAAAGACAAGAGCAAGGAGGAGTCGGAGGAAGAAACCAAGGAAGAGAAGGATGATGAAGAAGGGGAGAAAAGGATAAAGAGAAGAAACTTAAGAAGGTTAAGAAAGAAAAAAGGAAAAAGTGAAGAGCGAGGAGGAGTCGAAGGGAGAAAAGGATGAAGAAAAAGTGGAGAAGAAACTCAAGATAGTTAAGATTGAGGAAAAGGAAAAAGAGAAGAAAGACAAGAGCAAAGAGGGGTCGGAGGAAGAAAAAGTGGAGAAGAAACTCAAGATAGTTAAGATTGAGAAAAAGGAAAAAGAGAAGAAAGACAAGAGCAAGGAGGAGTCGGAGGAAGCAACGAATGACGAAAAAGGGGAGAAGAAACTCAAGAAGGAAAAGAAAGAGAAAAAGAACAAAGGAGAGAAAGACAAGATCAAAGAGGAGTCAGAAGAAGAGAAGGATGTTGAAAAAGGGAAGAAAGACAAGAAAAAAGGGGGGTTGGATGAAGAGAACAAGAGCGAAGCAGAGGAAGAAGAGAATGATGAAAAGGGTGTAAAGAAGGATAAGGAGAAGAAAGAGAAAAATGATAAAGGAAAGAAAGATAAGAACAAAGAGGAGTCAGAGGAAGAGAAGGATGATGTAAAAGGGAAGAAGAAAGACAAAAAGGATAAAGAAAAGAAAGACAAGAGCAAAGAGTTGTCAGAAGAAGATGATGAAGAGAAGGATGATAAAGAAGGCAAGAAGAAGGATAAAGAAAAGAAAGTCAAGGCGAATGCAGCTGAAGTCGCCACAAGAGAGATAAAAGTTGAGGAAGATAAGAAAGTATCCGACGGTGAAGCAGAAGAGAAAAATAAAAGCAAGAAGAAGGAGAAGGAAGGTAAGGATGAGAAACAAAAGGATTCGAAAAAAGATAAAGCTGAGAAGAAGAGAAAACTCGAGGACAAGTATAAAAGCAAAGATCTGAGTAAGTTGAAATCCAAGTTGGATAAGATCAATGCCAAACTGGAAGCTCTTCAGCTGGAAAAAGCAGACATCCTGAAGACAATAAAAGAAACAGAAGATAAGAACTTAGCAGTGGTTGAGAGTTCCAAAGATGCAGAATCAAAGGCACACGACGAGTAGTCGCTGAACAGTGAGTAGTATATTTTCATAATACTGTTACGTATACTAATACAGTGTTTGTGTATCCTTTTTCTTCCACTGTCATGTAGAAATGTACTGTCTTTGTCTTAAATAAGTTAAAAAGTATAGATGATATTTGTATTAAGTTCTCATATATTTTGACATTCTGCAATTCATCTTAACAAAAATTCACTTCCTCTTCCTATATTGCTCGTCTATTGGAAACAACCTCTCTACCTTTACAAGGCAGAGTTAAGCGTACACACCACCCTTTATTGGCCCTACTGGTAAGATTATGCTGAATATGTCGTCATCGTCGTCATTCTTCTATCTTGTTTTATGGTCATTGGTCTAGGCCATTGCATCTACAAACTAAGCAAGTAAAGTGTTGATGAGTCTCTGCCTCATTCCCAATTGAAATTGTATTAAATGTTGGCAACTAAGGTGTCGTTACTGATCAATAAAGTGGGTTGAGAATCCGCAACTACTACCGTGGTTGTTGCCAACGGGGATCCCTTTTTTGAGAAAAGAGGTCAAGGGGCTAAGTGACTCCGTGGGCTTTAGGAATCGAAACCGGACCAAGCTCGCACACAAGCCTGCTAGAATCTTGATGTTTCTGATTCAAATTCCAACAAAGACAGAAGATACTACTCCTTCTGTCCAACAATATTTGTCCATTATTGAGTTTGCACATTTATTAAGAAATTATAAATAGAAGGGTAAGTTTACTATATCACCCTTTGAATATAATAAATACAATGTCTTGAATAATGTAATAGGGAAATGACTATAGTTAATGATTAGGAACTAAGGGTTCGTTTGGTGTGAGGGATTAGAAATAATAGTGATGGGATAAAAAAAAAATTATGTTGTTTGGTTGGCAAGTCCGGGATAACTTATCTCGGGATTAATAATTAGTACCGGGATAAGTTATCCTTCCCCATGGGTGGTATAGTAATCCCGGGATAACTTATCCCGAGATAAAATAGGTAAATGACAAATATGTCCCTTTAAATCCTTTTTATACATCATTTTTTACATTTATGTATATTTACATTTTTTTTAATACCATGTATAATAATATTTACTACTCCTTATTTTTATGATAATTATACATATTTTTCTATTAAAAAATTATACTATATAAATATAATTTTTATTTATGAATTTATTTGACTAATTCTTATGTTTATTTTATTTTGATTTCTCATAAATTTTCTTCTCTTTAATAAACTTAAGAGGGAAGTTCTATTTTTAAGCTAAATAAGAAAAAAGTTATATTTTTAAATACACATGGTACTTATCATGGGAATACATAAACAAAAATATTTAAGTTAAATAAAATAAAAGTTTTATTTTAAAAAATGAATAACTAAAGCTCACAAAGAAATATTTAAAAAGTTTAAATAAAGTGAAGGGTAATTTTGTAAACAAACAACTTGTTCTTAAAATTTATCAATATATATTATTTTGAATATAACAAACCAAACACTCAATAAGAAATAATCTCAGGACAACTTATCCCATCATAACTAATCCAACATAACTTATCCCAACATAATTTATCCCATCATAACTCATATTCAAACCAAACGACCTCTAAGTGTATAATTATCCATTGATTTCATAAAATGGACAAGTGTTGTTGGACATTGTAAAATAGTGTAGTAGACAACTATTGTTGGATGGAAGGAGTAGGTGATATTTTCCTATCTGTTCTAGTCTTGATGGACAAAGTTATTTGATAATGTTGTTGGTGGGAGATGGCAAGTATCCTATGGAACTAGTCGAGTCCGAATACCATGGTTATTTGGTCAATTTACTCAGATCCTAATTTTAACATTGTTTGATAGACATTAATATGGATTTATAGTTTCACTGTACTATGAAGTCTCAGATAATTATTTTTTATCCTACTACCATTTTGCTTATGGAACATTCACCGTACTCACAATAAAATTATTTTCTTAAATTTTGTGTCAATCAAAATCGAAGCAGGTAGGGGTTGGGGCCTGGGGGTGGGTACTCATGGTTTGTTGAGATAACAAATTATTTCACATGGAAAGATTAATGACATGAAAAAGACATATTTAATTTGCTTACATCTTTATGAATATTATAGAATATATCTTATAATATAAGTTACGGGCACCATTAGTTTATTGATTTTTTCAACTACTAAAGTGGACTATATAAGTTATGTGCACCATCAGTTTATTGATTTTTTCATTCCATTGAATTAACAATTAAAAAAAGGATATAATAAGCGTAATATGATAACCTAAAAATGGAATAACAGCATGTTATATCTAATTAAATCATATCAATGATATATATTATAGGAAAAAAGGAGAAATATACCCCTAAATTATCGTAAATGATATGCAGATACCCTTTGTCATACTTTTGGGACATTGGTGCCCATGCCGTCCATAAACTAGAGCATATATACCATTTAATTTATACTAACGGACATACACGTGTCACAATCTTATCCACCGACATACATGTGTCACAATCTTATCCACCGACCTGACATTTATTAAATATCGGATCGACGGATAAGATTGTGTCACGTGTCCCTATTTAGTCTTCCGTTAGAGTGAAGGGCATATATGCTCTAGTTTTTGGACGGCAGGGACATCAATGTCCCAAAAGTATGGCGAAGGATATATCTGCATACCATTTACGATAGTTTAGGGATATATTTGTCCTTTTTTCCTATATCATTTTTAAATTGTCAGTTACATATAGCACCTTAAATTCTTTGAAAATCTACAAGATTTACTATAGTTCCATTACAAATTGCAACTTAATTATAATCATTCAATCTAAATTACTTATTAAATTTTTGAAAGGTACTTTCACCTTCTAAATTAATTACGTAATTGATACGCATCCATCAATTAGGATTGTAAGTTTAAGACATAGTACAATTATTGTGGTACCATTTAAGTCTTAGATTTTTTGTGAGAAAATGACATAAATAGTCCCTCAACTATAGGAGTAGGTCTAAAATGGTCCCTGAACTATACACTTAACGGATTTAGTCCTTCAACTATTCAAAAATTTGTCAGTTTTGGTCTCTTAACTATACACTTATCGATTTTAGTCCTTTAACTATAAACTTACCGATTTTAATCTTTTAAGTATTCAAAAACTTATCAAGTTTGGTCTTTGTCCACTTTTTTAATACAAATAGCTTAGGTTTATATTAACAGAATCTATGCCTCGAGAAATTAAATCTTTTAACAACTTTTTCTGATGGTTCTCTCTCCGTTACTTTTTCTTCAAATTAACCTTATGCGAAAAACCTTAACCTCAACGATTTAAAATAAAATTTATGAGGAAAGAAAATATAAGTCATAATTTTATTCAACAAAGGATAAAATGAAGCATATTATTGTTACTAATGACTTGAATATGTTAAACTTTATTATAAAAAGAAAAAAGTTATTATCCGTTAAATCCAAAGTTTGTACTCCAACGATTTCATTGAACAGAATTTGTTTAATTTTTCAGAAATGGTAATTTATAAAATGGTAGATTTGCAATTTTTAAACTTTTTTTAAAAATAGATCAATTGTATTATTCTATTCATTTTATTTTACGTAAAGAAATTTGAGTAATTTAAATAAAATTCGCATTGATTAGCATGATGCATGATAAGTTTCTCGAACAAAAACTATCAAAGTTTAGGATGGTGCGTATTAAAAACCAAAGCTATTTGTATTAAAAAAAATGGACAAAGACCAAACTTGATAAGTTTGTGAATACTTAAAGGACTAAAGTCGGTAAATTTATAGTTAAGGGACTAAAACCGGTAAGTGTATAGTTAAGGGACCAAAGCTGACAAATTTTGAATAGTTAAAGGACTAAATCTGTTAAGTGTATAGTTCAGAGACCATTTTAAACATACTCTTATAATTGAGGGACTATTTATGTCATTTACTCGATTTTTTGTCAACCACATATTGTTACTTAAATTGAACAAATACATGGAAGGTCAGACTCACTCAGACATAACACGTAAGTTATATTTAAACTTCACTTAAAAATAGTTTGTCAAAGATATTTGAGAATCAATGGTCAAATGCTAGTTTACATACGAGCGATATATATATATATATATATATATAAATTAAATCTTAAATATGTATAGAGCTGTCAAAATGGGCTGATCCACCCCATCCGGGCTAATTCATACAGGCTTTGAAATTTTACGGGTCAGGCCGAGCTAGCCCATTTTTTATGTGGGCCAGAAAATGGTTGGCCCAACCCACAAGTACGTGGGCTACCGGCTTTGCCGGTCCAGCCCTCTTTTAAAAAAAAGTATATTTCTTATAATTTTTTTAATTCAATTATAATTTAAAAATATTATCATAATTATCGACAAGATAATATTATATGGTGTTAGTGTTACTACTTGTTAATCAAATCCACAAATAAAATTATCTTTATAATATTTATTAAGTTTGATTTCAAGTAAAAACATAAATAGCTAAATAGAAATATTAACCTAATTGTTTTTCAATGATCATAACAAAACACAAAAACTATGACAACATTCCATAGATTACGGCTTATGTAGTGATTCTCTAGAAATTTTAGAAAATTTTTATTTTATGTAGTACATATTTTATAAATATAATTTATATTTAAATTGTAATATTTCAAACTTTTAACAAATTTTGAGTTTAGACTCTTGTTATTTTTAATACTCTATTTTTATTTATTTTTTAAATTAATTTTTATTTATCCCACGGGCCGGCCCTATCCATATTTCAAGCCCCACAAATCGACATGCTTATTCAGGCCGGGCTAAAAAGTCATTTTCTTAAATGGGATACGATCCAAAAATCGTATCCCATCCCTATCAAATCACGGGTTAGGCCAGGCCAGCCCTATGGGCCTAGCCCATATTGACGGCTCTAAATATGTATAGTTAATTAGTGTAATCGTAAATGCTTAACTTGTTTATTTCCTATGCATATGCTTGAGTTTAGGAAAATAAGCGAGTTATTTGACCAGCACAAATTGAAATATGTTTAGCATATTATGATATAATAACTGATTATACCTTCGTACATATATTTATTAAATTGATGTAAAGATATAAATAAATGTGAACAGTTTAGAAACCATTTTCTCTTCCTATATATAACAAAGTGAAATAACCCCA